GTTCCACATGAAGGCTACAGTGATTCATGCCAGTCACACCCCAGTCCTGCCAATCCACTGGGTAGGATGCAATATTGAAGGCACCATCAACACAGTCACCTCAGGGGCTCTGCAGCCCCTTGACTTTGTGGATGTTTTCCATAATCCCCCGCTTGTCCCTGGCTGAAGACAGAACCTCCCTCCTGCAGAGGCCAAGTGAGAATTCACATCTGATTAAGACTTTATTAGAGACTCAGGAATAATGAAAAGTGAATAAATATACACAACATAAAACGAGGTAATCTGGTTTACGTATATTTATCTTCATTCCTTTATTTCCATGATTACAAGATCCACAGCTCATCCAATACACTGTTTTTGTTTTTGTTTTCTTGTTTTCTTGTTGTTTTGGTTTTTCTTGTTATTGTTTTCCTTCTCATCCAATAAATTTGAACTGACCCAAAGCCCAGTACTTTCCTTAGTTCTCACAGATGAACAAAGCCAAAATTCAGACTCTATTTTATTTACGGTTTAGGACTACCTACTGCAAATTATTGGGGGTTAGTCCATTTTGGAGTTCATAACCTACAGCAGAACCTCGTGTGGTTGAAATGCCCAGTTTTCAGGAAGGATTATTATTGTACCATTTAGATTACACTGCAGAAGTCTCATTTGTTGTGCTTCCCCCCACCCCCATGGCTGCGAATCTTGCTTTTGATTTACAAATGTAGTTAGTTTAGCTTCAGTGTTAGTTGGTTATAGGTTGTTTAACCTTATCTGGATAGTTTTACCTATCTGTAACAAGAGTAATTTGGGCCTCTTACGTCCCAATAATTAAGACATGAACCATGTAACACACTCCAATTCAAATATGAGCCGTGCATAACTCTATCACTAAGAGACATGGGGAAAAGCCCCTCTCCTAAAACTTTTAGAGGTTCTTGGTTTTTTCCACTAAAAACTGGGAACAAGTCAGCTTATGGGGAACACGAGGTCTTTAGCCTCATCTAAAGGTTCATCAGCCCCCAAGATTGAGAACCACCGACCTCAAGTTCTCTCTGCCTAGGCCGGCCCGTGGCTCACTCGGTAGAGTGCAGTGCACCAAGGCCACGGGTTCGGATCCTATACAGGGATGGCCGGTTGCTCACTGGCTGAGCGTGGTGTTGACAACACCAAGCCAAGGGTTAAGATCCCCTTACCGGTCATCTTTTTTAAAAAAAAAAAAAAGAAAGAAAGGTTCTCTCTACCTAATTAGTAAACCCCTGTAAGAAAATAATCTAAGTGATTCATTTTCAGAAATTATTCAGGCCCAGTCCAAAAGTTGTCTGACTGGTTCAGCCTATTCCTGGAGGTGTTGCTGAATAGATAAAAGTTCTCCTTCAGATGCTAATGAGTTATTACCAGCCCTTAATTGTTTACTTCAAATGGATAAAGTTTCCCTTGAATGTTAATGAGTTAATAGCCCTTTATTGTTCTCTTCATTTCCTGGTTTCTCCTTTCACAGGGTTTTGGGTGGGCCTTTTTCACGGGCTTGTCCTGAGCCCTCAGACAAAGAAATTTCTTAGAAGGGAGAAATAAATCAGGGTAATCTTCCATGTCATCCGGTAAGATTGTGCACCCCAACCAATGAGGAGGCGGGGGCAGGGACTTGCACACTAGGGAATAAATTGCTTGTTACACCCCTTTTCCGTGTACCTGCCCGTCAGACACCCGAACCTTGCAAGGCTGTAATTAAAGTCTCGCTTCGCTGTACCTCACGTCTCCGTGTCCATCCTTTGGCCTTGGACGGGTGAGGGTGTTTCTCACAACCCCTACTCTATGGCAGAAGCCATCTTTCCCCCCAATCCGAAGTATGTCCCTAAGATACTGAGCTGGTTAGCCACTTTCCACTCTGGCAATCCTGCTGCTATGGTTTGGATATGGTTTGTCCCCACCAAAGTGATGTTGAAATCTGATTCCCAGTGTGGCAATGTTGGGAGGTGGGGTTTAGTGGGAGGTGTTTGAGTCATGATGGTACATCCCTCATGAATAGATTAATGCCCTCACTGGGGAGAGCAGGTTGTTGAAGAGGACCGCTTCCTCTCATCATGTGATCTCTTCCTGCAGCCTGAGGCCCTGGCCAGATGCAGTTGCCTAGCCTCCGGAATCGTGAGCCAAATAAACCTCTTTTCTTGATAGATTACCCAGTCTCAGGTGTTCTGTTATAGCAACACAAAAAAGGACTGAGGGATGTTTTTCTGCCTGTTGACCAACTTTTACCCAGATGGTCATAACTTGGACCACCTACTCCCTTCTGAGCCACCTCTGCCCACATGGCTGTGGCTGTGGCCTCCAGCCACAAAAGGACACTTCCTAACACACTGAAGGAGCCCGACATCTGTACACAAGGCTCACACACGCACAGTATGAACAAGGCTTTTGCTCTAGTACAGAGGTGTGTGAAGGGAGAGCTGGCTACTTCAATAAAGCTTGACACCTATGCCAGTGTCATACTGTCAGGAGCCAAGATTACAAGTGATACAGAGGTGCTAGGACCTACTAGAAATAGTCAACTCCTACAACATGCACTGCAAAACAAGGTCAAGAAAAAAGGTCATCCTGGGCCAGCAAAAAGAAAGGAAAGGGAAGTAGAAGGACCATCAGCACCAGAGCCAGGTCAGTGTGAGCTTTCACGTCAGGTGGACCTGAACATGAACCCTCCCAGCCTCTACCAAAAACCAGCTGTGGAGCTGGGGACAGGCACAATGAGTGCTGCACAGAACCCCTTGGGCCAGGTCCCTCATCTGCAAACCAGTGCTGTAATTCCTATCTTGCAGCATTGAGGTGAATAAGACAAGACATAGTGTTAGGAAAAACACACATACAACCTATGAAATGTCAGGCACCAGTGTAAAGCAAGTTCTGCCCAAACTGGAGGAACATTTTTCTCATCAGGAGAAGTTGTTCCTGGACTGGGTCTGGGCCAGGCTGGGTGGGAGGTGGAGGCAGCAGAGTGGGGCAGGGGCAGGGGTATGGGCAAGGCCAGGCACTGAAGCAGGGCCAAGCCTGGAGGGAGTCAGTTCCTGGCAGTTGGCAGCTCAGACTGATCCCTGCCTACCCACCACACTCCGCCCTCTGCCTGGGCTCTCCTGGTGCTGTTGTCTTCACTTCTTCCTGCCCTCCTGGCCCCCAGCACCCCAAGGCTGGCATAGAGGAGCAGACCAGCTCCACAGGCAGTAAGAAGATGAGGTCAACCCCCAGGGTAACTGGCATCCAGGGTGAGCGTGGAGAGTGAGGGGGGCTACGGGGGTGGGAGAAAATCCCTAAGCCCATCCTGCAGCTCCCCACCCTGCAGCTCCATGCCCAGTTCCAGCTTTCAGCTCCCAGCTCCTGCCCCCCTACCCCATGCAGACCTCAGGGCTCCCTATCACCACACCCCATCCCTCCACAGCAGCAGTCCACAAAGTCCCTGAACAGGAATTCCCTCTCACCTAAGTTACTTACTTCTTAGGAAGAAAGGAAAGCCCCTCCTCTTTCCCATGACCCCACATCCTTGTTCAAGGAGCTGTTATAGCCCCTAATGGGTGACCTCTACTGCCCCCAGAAGTCCATGCCTAAGACAGAGTGCTAGCTTGGCTTCTCAGCACAGATGACCCTGAAGTAATGGGGTTGAAAAGGGGAAAGGGAGGGTGGATCCTCACCTCCAGGCAGACCCTGCAACACAGCTTCCAAGGGCCTCGCCCCATCCTGGCTTATGCTTCCTCCCCAACTCACCCCTTACCCAGGGCCCCAGCCCCACCACACAGCTGAGCTGGCCCAAGCTGAGGAGCTGCTAGAGCAGCAGCAGGGGCTATACCAGGGGGCTGCCTGGGAGACCCAGGACCTGAGGCTCAAGATCCAGAAGCTGAAGGAGCAGATGAGACACCGAGAGCGCCTAGGAGTGACCTAAGCTTCCCATCAGTTCCCACATCACCCTCCAGCACCAGGAATACTGCCCACCCCTCAACACCCCCATCTCCAGCAGCCCTTTGATCAGAAACTTCCCAGCCTCTCCCAGGCCAATGAGAAAATGGAAGAGACCCCCAGAAAGGGCCAGAAACTGGGAGGTGGTGGGTGAGCCATGGTCTCTGCAGCGGCTTAATCCCACCCCCCACTTTGACCCCACCCGTTGATCTCAGCTCCACTGCAAGGGACACGGGCCTCACAGGAACTTACCCTGCTTCATGTCCTAACACAGCCTCACATCCAGTAAAGTGACAGAGCACTTATACATACCAGACAAGTGTTTCATTTTTAGTTTTGTTAAAAAAATTCTGACAAATCAAGAATGGGGTTTACGAGGGTTGTGATGCAAAAGAGGGAGCCATGGGGTGGGGGTGGCAGGGGTAGGTGGCAGTAGTGTCGCCTTCACCTCCACGCTGGTGTCCTCTCCTGAAGAGGAGCAGATCATCACATTCCAGAATGGGTGAGCCCTCTACCGTGTCTGTTCAACTGAAGTCAAAACACAGCACAGTCAGAATAAGGCAGAAAAGGCAAAACCAACACAGAAATTCACGCACTCACACATACAGACGTTCATGTACTGTGTGGGTTCAGAGAAAAGACTTGGGGGTGGGAAAGATAAATAATCTGATGAGAAGAAACAGATCCCACACGGAGGCCATCAACACAACCCAACATGACATCAAAGACCAGGGGTGGGCCGGCCTGTGGCTCACTCGGGAGTGCGGTGCTGATAAACACCAAGACCACGGGTTCGGATCCCATATACGGATGGCCGGTTTGCTCACTGGGTGAGCGTGGTGCTGACAACACCAAGTCAAGGGTTAAGATCCCCTTACCGGTCATCTTTAAAAAAAAAAAGACCAGGGGCATGAGCTGGTCAATGCCCACCAAGCATCAGGCACTCTCCGTACAGAATGGGATTGAAGACAACTACACTAAGGAACAAGGAGAAACCAAAGAACTGGGGAAATCAACACTCACTGTAGGAGGAGATGTCTATCTCATCAGGCAGCTCGCTAATATTGACCTCAAAGCGATCCTGCACATCATTGAGGATCTTGGCATCATTCTCATCTGAGACAAATGTGATGGCCAAGCCCTTGGTGCCAAACCGGCCTGCTCTGGCCACCTGGAGGGAGACAGAGAGTAGGACTAGAACCCCAAATAGGGAAGACACCCAGAGGCAGGGATGAAGATGTAAGGTATGAAAAGATACAGGAAATAAGGGGTGGAGAGTGGGATGTCCTTCTGGGTGTGGGGCTTACCCGATGCAGGTAGGTGTCAGAATCCTCGGGCATGTCGTAGTTAAAGGCAATGTTCACCCGCTCGATGTCCATGCCTCGGCCAAATAGGTTGGTAGCCACAAGAATTCGTCGTTGGAAATCTTTAAACTGCTGATACCGAGAAAGCCTTTGTGAGAAAGGACATTAGAAAAATATTGAGATTCCCTTGTCTCAATGTTCTCTTTTCCCCCCAAGGACACAAAACATCATCCCCATCTCCAGCTCACCTCTCCTCCTGGGGCATCCCACGGTGGATGGCAATGGCTGGGAAGTTCTGCTCCACCAGGAGCTGGGCCAGAGCGATGCACCGCTGCACGGACTTCACAAAGATCACCACCTGTGTGTGTGTGTGGTTGGGGGCGGGGGGGAGGGTTGAGTGGGAAGATGAGTCCGTGTGTTTGTATGTGATACAGATTATGTGTGAGAGATGAGTTTTAATAATTAGTCTTGTAAAGAATTTCCTCTTCCTCTCTCCTATTGTCCATATTTCCTGTTCTGTTCTAAATATAACTTAGCCTTTCTCTGCTCCTTTTTTCCCCAGCAGACTGGCCTCTGAGGTGGTGCGGAAAACAGTAACCAAACGTGCCAGACATGTTAGGAGACAAGAATGAGACTACCACATGAAAAAGGGATAAAAATTAGAACTAAGGTCTAGAAAAACCATGACTGACATTGCTACTAACTAAAACATTAAACCTAAAGGAACTATGCTAATTCTAGAAAGCAGTTTTTAGTGCAAATGGACAACAGGTAAATTGATGAAATTCTCCTCCTCAATAAGTATAGTACAAGGAGAAATAAAAAGATTTAAGAACCCTAACATGCCCAAGATAGTTCAAGGTTTTTACTAACTTACTAAAACCCTTCAAGGACTTTATTTTTTAAGGTTTACTTCACCTGAGGTTTTCCTTTATTGAGTAGACCTATCCTCGCCAGTCACAGGACAAAAAAGGAGCTCCCACCTTGCTCATGCTCAGCCCAGAAGATATTTATATTCTCATTTAAAAGAATTTCATTTAGGGCCGAGCCCGTGGCACACTCGGGAGAGTGCGGCGCTGGGAGTGCAGCAGCGCTCCCGCCGCGGGTTTGGATCCTATATAGGGATGACCGGTGCGCTCACAGCACTCACTGGCTGAGCGCGGTGCAGCCGGTCTCAAAAAGGACAAAAAATTTTAAGAAATTTTAAAAATTAAAGTAAAAGAATTTCATTTATTAGAATTTCTTCATCATTCCCTCCCACATCATATGTGTGGTCTCAATAAAAGGGTACTTAATACAAAGGTTTCTACTATAGCTGGAGATATATCCAATGTTCACTCCCCTACTGGACACTTTGAACAACTCACCTGGTTGAACTCAAGGACATCCAGAAGGTCAAAAAGCTTCCGGTTCTTCTCGTTGTCCTTCAGTTTCACGTAGTACTGCTGCAACCCATGCAGCGTCAACTTCGTCTCATCATCCACGAAGATCTCCATTGGCTGGGAGGGAGGAAGGGGGTGGGGAACGGGAGGAGGGCAGAGTGGGGGGGTTAAACCTGGGGGGGGGTGGCGGAAGTTGATCTCCAATACACCCCATGGGGGGATGGGGAGAAAAGAGCGATTGAAAACCCCACCGCACCCCCAAAAATACCCACATTCTACTGTGGTCTCTTTCACATTAGATCTAATTTCCTTTCCATCAGTTGAGTTTTAAGACTGCCCAACTATAAAGCGTCCAGAAAGAAACTCCGCAAAGGAAATACAGCAATGGTGAAACCACCAAATGGCAAAATGCCATTACCTCAGATGGAGGTGGTGGAAGAAAACAATGGGAGATAATTCTCAAAAAGAAAACACGATTCAAACACCTGAAAAATGATCAGAAACAGTGACTCGAGGTCAGAATAACTCCATCAATGCTGGTTATAAGAACATGGGGGAGAGGACAAAGATTGCTTCATTTGACATTTCTCTCAAATAGGAGCTCATGTATGTTAGGAAAGTGTATGTCTTTAAGAGCAGAATGCACAAACAAAGAGAACTACTCAAGGTGAGTAACAACTAGCCCTCAAACTACAAGGGAATAGTTTTAGATAAGTCTGGTCTCCAGACTAAGAGTCAAACCATGTACAGGCTTACATGGAAGGTATCAATAAGTGGTGCTTAAAAACAAATTCAGAGCAGCAGATATGCATTCATCTTTAAAATTAAAAGGGGAAAGAAAAAAAAAACCCTTGAAGGGGAGGAAAGTAGCATAAAAAAGACAGAAAAAAAACAGAAATTGACACAGCTCCAAAGCCCAACTTTTCTACCACTCTTCGTACTACACTGGTAGACATAGTTAACATGAAGATCCAGGAATCAAGATGGGATAGGATGTGTGAGAGTCATGGGAAAAAAACAGAAGTCCAATCCCAGAAGGCAGGCTAGCAAGGCAGGCTTTCTAAAGAGCAGTTCCATGGCCTCCTTCGAATCTCATCCGGGCCCCAAGCACAGCTAAAGAGAAAGAGCTGTCCCATGGAGGGAGCACTGCAGGGAGCAGAGGAACACACTCCACTGCTTACACAAGGGCCCTGCCTGACCCCAAGCCCTAACAGCCACCCGGTTACATTCACTTTACCTTTCCCATATCCCACTCCTCTGAGTATTAAAAAAAAATTTTAAGAAAAAAAACTACCACCCCATTCAGGACACCCCACCCCCAACACATATGGGGGAAACGGGGCACAGCACGCGTTGGGTTCAGGAAAAAAACCGGGAACAGAAAAAGAGGCTGGTTTGGTCCTCAGCTTCCTGGTCAGGTTTCTCGCGGCCTCCGCTGCCGCCATCCACCGCTGGGTGCCGTCCATATTCCCTCGCCGCGCCACGGTGCTTCTCTGCTGCTGGCTCACATCAGCCGAGGTTCCAGATGGTGCAAGCAGGTATGGGCAGGAAGGAGTAGGGGATCGGGGATTGAGGTGCCAAAGGCCCCCACCCCTAGAGGTGGGGAGGGGGCAGATTCATTCGTGCTGTTTTGCTCTTCTTTTGGACAAGCCCTGCCATCTGTCTGTCCCTCTCTTGCTCTCCTGCCACAGGGAGGTATGAGTTTTGGTGAGCAGAAGGCTCCAGTTGGATGCTCGATGCCACCTGGAGGGTGCGTGGCTGTAGGGGGTATGCAGGAGATGATGGGCGAGTGGCAGGGCAGAAAATCCTGCCCTCCACCCAAAAAAGAGAAGAGGTTCAAAAACGTGATTTTTAAAAAAATTCAGACACTACCCGCTCTCACGTTAACCCGACCAAGTCTTCCGGAGTTTCCCTGGCACCCGCGCAGACCCTAACACTAGCTGTCTCTGCCTCTTGTCTCTTTAAGGAGCCATCACTCCCAGACAGGCACAAGCTCCCTTCTTGGCGCTTGGAGGACAAGGGAGTCTGGAGGAAGAAGGCGAGGAAGGGGAGGAGGCAGTGGGCGGGGAGTGGAGGGAGAGAAGGTAGAAGGGTATTTACATCTTGCATGAACTTGCGGCAGACTGGACGGATCTCTTTGCTCAAGGTAGCACTGAACATCATGACCTGCTTCTCATGGGGGGTCATGCGAAAAATTTCCTGCACATCCCGACGCATGTCTACAAGAAAAAAAATTATTGAAAAAATAAGCATGTGTGATAAAGATTGGAGGTAGACTTCCCAGTGAGGTGAAGACTGCTAGAAATGGGTAAGCAAGGAAGTCATCTCAGGGAATGACCTTAGGTTTCTCTCTTCTCCATCTTCTCCAACCACTATAAAATCAAATTGTGAGGTGAAGACTGCTAGAAATGGGTAAGCAAGGAAGTCATCTCAGGGAATGACCTTAGGTCTCTCTCTACTCCATCTTCTCCAACCACTATAAAATCAAATTCATAGTAATAACACAACGGAAAGAGCAATGAATTTGGAATAAAGGGGCTGGCTCACTTGGTTAGAGCATGGTGCTGATAACACCAAAGTCAAGGGTTTAGATCCCCAAATAAAGATTTGGGATCAGGTTCCAGTGTTTTAACCAGACAAGAAATAGGATAAAGCCCCAAAGTCCACAACTATAAAATGAGGATAAAGCCCACTCCAGAGCCTCACAAAAATAAGGCCTTTTAAAAATGCTTTACACAAAGAATAAAGAAAAAAAATAAAAATGCTTTACAGGCCCTTCTCCCAACTTCTCTCTCTGCAAGCTCCATCCCCCAGCAATCTACAAATACTGAGCACTTATAACATCCTAGAAGATAGAGTCCATTCCATGTCTTCTTTGATCACACTTTCCTATACAGTCAGGCATCTGGACTTCCTATCCAGATATGACATCTCCACCTGGAGCCCACCTTATAGATCACCACTTCAAGTTAGGAAACATCATGAGGGATGACCTCTCTGGCGCTATGTCTATTCCCACTCTCCCTTTCACCAAAATCCAGTTCTTACAGAAAATTTTCCTCTTATTAACCCCACTTAAGCACACTAGAATACCATGCCACACAAACTCCTAGAAACAAATTCTCCATATTAATCCTAGAACTTAAGTTTAGAAACCTAATCAGCTATAAATTCTGATCACATGCTGTGCTGGGGATGCCAGAAGGGTAGACTGTCTCCTCCTTCAGTTTAATATCTCCCCCATGACACCTAGTATAGGAATCTACAAAGGAAAGGGAGGTGGTAGTGGCAATGACTTGCATCTAAAATTATCAAAGTCCCTTACCTTTAAAGAAATATCTATCATAGAAAGGAAGAACCTTTCTCCCTGATCATCAAGGCTGCTTAAAAACCTAACAAAGACTGACAAGGGAACCCATAGCCATCAGTCATGGGTGACAGATCAAGAGTCATCCTTTCACAGAAGTGTTCCTGTATCAAATAAGCATCATTTGGCTCCAAAGGACGACAACTCAGACCACTAGCCCAGTCCCAGCACTGCCACTCACCGAGCTGTTCGAGCATCTTATCACATTCATCCAAAATAAAGTGTTTAATGTGTTTGAGGTTAAGGCTCTTATTTCGAGCCAGGGCTAGGATTCGGCCAGGAGTCCCCACGACAATATGCGGGCAGTTCTTCTTCAGCACCTCTTCATCCTTCTTGATAGACAGACCACCAAAAAACACAGCGACCTGCCAAACCACAGGTTAAAACCATTAGGGCAAAGGTTGTTAAAGATCTGGGTCTTAGTATGGTATCAAATAACACCAGGAACTGCTTTCTAGTTTCAAGGGGGAAAAGAACAATCAAGGAGTCAGACTGTCATGACCGTACTCCAATGGTTAATCTAAAATCATAAATGGGAGTCAACCAGGTTTGTGGAATAACAGGAGGTATGGCATTACCTATAAAGGATTCTCATCAAAAATGTTTAAATTAAGTTAGTTAAGCATTCAAATATAAATTTCAGTTTATAGGAAACACTAGGAGGAAAGAACAAGCTAAACATAAGGGAGCAAATAACCAGACAAATTCAGAGTGGGATATTCTATAAAACTGGCCCAGCCTCTTCAACAAATCATTGTAACATAATTTTGAGCAAAAGTAAGAAAAGGAACATTTCATATTTGACCTTGACAGCAAGAACATTCTCCTTTGAGTGACTCAAGGGTGATGAAAGTAAACCTATTCACTCTGGCAATGTAAAAGTAGAGGCGTATGTAACAACAGACACACATATATATACACAGCCTTCTGAACATATTTAGGTAATTACAATTAATACAGTTTTCAAATACTGGGAGGAAGATAGTATAAACAAGCTAAATAATGTTTCATGAAAGAAGTCAAAAAGACTTACAAGTTGATAAATTGGGAAAATAATGCCTAAGACTTGGTTACACAGAACTATTAGAGCTAAAAAAAAAAAAAATGGTTAAGTATTACCTTCTGTGAAGTAGGACTAGAGATGGAAGAACACATATCATTTCATTATAAGACCTTCTGGATTACTTAAGCATTTTTACCATGCGTAGGTACTACTAATACTACTTTGGCTTTTAAGGAATTATTTTTGGTTTAGGGATATAAATCAAATACTCCTAGTTCCCTTAAAATATAAAGCAATAAAACAAAGTGAAAAACTGCAACAATCTGAGCAAATGTACAGCTGTTCTTTACCCTATCCTAGCAGAGAAGACAGGAATACATCAGTGCTTCTGATGTATATAATCACGTAGGGATCTTATTAGAATGTACAGCTGACCCTTGAACAATGCAGGGGACAGGGGCACAGTCGAAAATCCATGTATATCTGAGCTTTTCCCTGGGCCACAGTTACTTTAGCAGTTTAAAGTTAAGTACTTACCTACTAATAGCCTAGTGTTAGGTAAGCTACTTAAATTTTTCAATATTCTTATTTTTAAAAATCTGTGTATAAGTGAATCTGTGCAGTTCAACCCCTGTTGTTCAAGGGTTTACTATATATTCACTCAGTAGGTCTGGTGTAGGACCAAAATAATCTGCATTTCCAATAAGTTCCCAAATGAAGCTACTGGTCTGGGAACCACAGCATGAATATCAAAGAAACCAACTCTGTTGTGGCCCCCAGACATCTTTCAATTTTCTGCCATTTTAAAGAATCCTCTAGGGGCTGGTCAGTTAGCTCAGTTGGTTTGAGCAAGGTGTTATAACACCAAGGTTAATGGTTAGGATCCCCATACCAGCTAGTGGCCAAAAAAAGGAAAAGGATCCTCTAAACTCACACACTACACTGGAGCTGCTTTAGAGCTTCCAGCTTTCTCTTGCCACACATCCCAAAATTCTCAAACTGTCAACCAAAGTCCAGTGAAATGATTCAAAGTCAGTGTGATGAAGTAGTAAGAAAAGGGTGGTCTTGTAATAAACATCATCCATAGCCAAATCATTAATCCTCCCGCTACACAGGCATATTTACAATATGTGTTAAACCAAGACAAACTTAAGCTTCTCCAAAATTAAAATAGAGCAAGCATCTCTGAAATTATAACGCATATCCAAATGAGTCCTACGTTTTGGTAAAAATCTCTTGTTCATCCAAAGCTTGCAGGAACTTATTATCAGTTATATGTATACTGAAGCTCTCATATAAGTACTTAACATCTGTGGGACACAGAGACTGCTGTCCTACAAGGTTCCGACACCTGTAACTCCCCACGCCCTCAATCTCCCAGATTTCTTTACCCTGGCTTACCTTGACATTGGGCATGTATTTAGAGAAGCGCTCATATTCCTTGCTGATCTGAAAAGCCAACTCTCTAGTGTGACACATCACCAGCACAGACACCTTGGGGTGGAGGTGGGAGGGGTAGAGTAGACAGAAACAGACATATAGTAAATATATCCCTTCATTATCCCCTCTGGAGAAGTGACTGTCACAAAAGCACACTTGGCAGATCAAAAATGACTTCAATTCTGAGATCCAAATCATTAACCCCACATTTACTAGGAAACATTCCCCATGGTAGTCAAGGATGATAGTCATCTTAACACTCACAGCTTTGAAATCATCATATAACTGGGACAGAAACATCCTTCTCATATATTCCTAACCAAAATGCCTTCCCCAGTACTCTCCCCAAGTATACCTGCCCAGTAACTGGCTCCAGCTGTTGCAATGTGGCCAGCACAAACACTGCTGTCTTTCCCATGCCTGACTTGGCCTGGCACAGGACATCCATTCCCAGAATGGCCTGAGGGATGCACTCATGCTGGACTAGAAGGAGGAGGGCAGAAAAAAAAAGAATTAAAGAAAAATTAAATTACACTCTCCAGATAACAAGTCTCAAAGTATTTACCTGATTCTTGTCAACTTCCAAACCCTTTTTACCTCTTTTTATTTTCCTTAATCTGTAACAATCCATAACATTTGAGTGCCTGCCACAGGCCATTTCTCCTTAGGTTGCCATGCTTTGGGTCACATAACCCTGCAACCTTGGACAAAATGAAGGACTTGGTATCTGACCCAGAAGTCAGCCATCTTTAGACAAATCATAAAGGTTTACAGAGACCAGAGTTGGCCTGGCCCAAAAGAGGGTGACTAAAGGTCCAACCAAGCCCTTTCTGGAAATTTAAAATTTAGAAGTCAAAATGACAAAATTAAAAACAAGCAGACAAGAACAAGAGCCAGTCATAAAAACTAACAGCAGACCTGTAAGTTGCTTTTGGATCACTAGCACTTTCACATTATCATGATGAAAGACCAGCCTCTACAAGCCTCTTCTATTGCTAAAATCATCTTTGGTACTTCTTTCCTGGTCTATTCCAAATATTAATCTTTACCACCTGAGAAACCACAATGAGTACTCTATGCCCAAAAGAAAATTTACCTTCTGAGGGATGCTCAAAACCACAGTCAACAATGGCCCGGAGCAACTCTGGCTTGAGCAGGAAGTCCCGAAAGCCAGAGCTGTGGATGGAGACATAGGAGCCCTTGACATCCTTTTTGGCAGGGGCCTCGGCTCCATCTCCCCCAGCTGCTGTCTCCACCTCGTCATCTTCATAGTCCAAGAGCTCATTGTCCACATCGTTCTCTGCCATAACTGGGCCGGCGGGGGGGAGAAGGGAAGGGGGTCTCTGGAGGGGTTCTCTAAGAATAAGTGAAAACCAGGGGAAAGAGTCGGGGCTTGAGGAACAGCAAAGGAAGACTAGTTTCTGATAGAAGAGCTAGTGGGGGAAGAAAAACAAAGATGGAAGACTTATCAGTCATGAACAGGGCCCTTCACCACCTCCTTTCCACCCCCACACTCTTCCACTTTCCCTAAACTACGCAACCTTTACCCGAAAAGAAAAGTAACAAAGACATACAAAACAAAAAAGCAAAAAGAATGAAAAAGTGGTCCCAGGGGAAGTGGTTAAGATACAGGTTTCCAATAGGATCAGAGTAGCTGAAACCAGGAAGTTGAAATTCCTTATAAATTCCTGATCTGTAAGTAACGATAGTGAAGAAAAACAGATAACGAAAAGCAAAATATGACTAACGACTTACAGTGGATATTAGACACAAGATAAGGACAGTCCTCAATTCTCAAAGGAAGATTGTGCTTTCCCTATATTCTCACGGTATCGATCTCTTAACTCAGCAGCCATCAGTGACCAAAGTGATGTCGGTAGATGTAGCTGATGCCTTGGGGATGGTGAGCAGGAGGTGAGTCAGGAAGGTGTTCTGAATCTACCGAGTGAGATACTGGATCTGGATTCTTCCTCAAGTGTTAAAAATAAATGGTAGGGCTTGAGGGCTCTGCAACATTCCATAAATATTGTTAATTCGAGCAGAATATTCATAGGGCCGCCTCAACAGTCCAATTGTTCAGTCTGGATTATTTCCTGAAACATTTGACATCCCCCTCGTTGAGATGCTACAAAAGGCAGACGTGATATCCTGCTGCTTTAATAAAAATGACAACAAACGTTTGACCTTTTTCCTGTTAGCACATTTAGCCATTTAACACTAAGGAGTAGGAACCGTATTCCCATTTTATAGACAAGAAAATAGAAAAGGAAAGGAACATATCCAAAGTAATGCAGCTAGTAAGGTGACAGCCAGGATGTAAACACCTCTAATTCTCTATTGTATCCTGCCTCTCTGCTTAAAGAATCTGGTTAATAAATACACTGTGGATTACCACATTGGTTCAAGTCCCTGGGCAAGCGGGCTTGTCTCCTGTGGCAAAGAGCGATAACTGATTCAAGGATGATGTCATAGAAGGGCAGTTTTCCCAACCCTACATATCATTTAATTTATTTATTTATTTATTTATTTATTTATTTATTTATTTATTTTTGACTGGTAAGGGGATCTTAATCCTTGACTTGGTGTTGTCAGCACCACGCTTAGCCAGCGAGCAAACCGGCCATCCCTATATGGGATCCGAACCCGGGGCCTTGGTGTTATCTGCACCGCACTCTCCCAAGTGAGCCAGGGCCGGCCCTCATTTAATTTATTTAACAGTGTTATCAACTGCCTGCCCTGTTCCAAGTGCTGTCCTTGGATCTGGGGACACAGCAGTGAACAGCCCTGTCCTCACAGGGTTTACATAACAAGGGAGACAACACATCAACACATAAATATAATGATTTGTTTTTGTTTCTCTAACAAGTTTCAAAGGACAGCACTTTGGGGTGTTTGGGAAATAGTAAAAAAAACAGGAGAGTGCCTGAAAATGAGAAATGATGAGACAAAAGGAGGCTGCTTTGACACACCAGTTGACTTTTCCATAGTTATTTTATTGCACTTTTTATTGTTACAAAGGGAAAGCAAGGCTTCGAGGATGTAGAAAGGAAGGCCATGCATACAAGGGGACACAGCATCACTTAAAATCTCAAGAAACACTGAGCATGTGATGGGTATTTGGAGAAATAGGAAAAGGGTACAATCCAATAAAGAGAAAGACCAGCATAAGAGAAACAAAGAGAGGCTAACAGATGCAGTATTATCTACTTGGAGCCATAGTAGAGGGACTAAATGAGGTCATCATTTCATCTTCTCAGGGATCATAAGGTTTCAGGGAAAAGAAATGGGAGGACAACCAATTCTTCAGAGCAATACTAAGGTCACAGAATGAATGAGTGGAATTAGAGAGCCACTGACAAGTGAAACAGCTGTATTTAAGTTTTGTTAGGTGAGTAGGGGTTGGTAATATCACAGCGTTGCCAATTTATTGAATCACAGCTCCCACCCACCAGAAACCACGCTAAACTCTTTATAGAATGATTCCTAATCATTGCAGCAACCCCAAAAGGTAGACACTATTATTATTATTCCAGTTTCACAGAGGAGGACATTGAGGCTACCACATTAAGTAGCTTGTCCCAGTTGCACAGCCAGCAGTGGCAGAGTCAGGAGAGGGACCCAAGTCTACCAGGCTCTGAGGTCAGGGTGTTTTCTGCATCCCTACTTCCCCATGCTACAAGTTTCACAAAGAGGTTGAGTGAGAGTGACTTGGGAATTTACAATGTCCTTGAGGGTTAAAGAGCAACAGGGGGATTCAGATCTGAGCACAGGAGAACTATTGGATCTTGCCTCCTGGGATTTCCAGGGAATGGAAAGGAGTAAAGGATTATGATGGGATGTGATATTGATTTGAGAGATTTCTTTGAGGGAGGAAACTGGCAGGAGGAGTCAGGGCCTATGGTGGGTCCTAGGCAGCAATCCGGTAGTTGGGGTGGACTTGGGGCCTGACGTCACAGACCATGCCAAGAAGTTGGGCCAAGACACGCTCTCGGTTTCTTTGCTGGGAGCTCTGCATGCCCTGTACCTGGCGTCTTGTAGCCTGCTCCACCTCAGCCGACAGGTTCCCCTGGGAGCCCATGGCCTGGGGGGTGTGGAAAGGGTGGAAGAGAGAACGGAAAAAAGCAGAAACAGAGACAGAAGGGTACAGGCATGTGGAGGAAAAGATCCTGGAGTCAAGAAGAAAATCCCTCATAGAAACTGCCCCCATCCCACAAAAATATTCAGACACCAAAGAGATCAACATAATCCCTTTTCCTCTAAGACCTGACATGCAACTTCATCCTAAAACAGACTGTAAAATGCCCACCACCTCACAATCCATGACCATAAAACTCTGCCCTCCACCCCAAATGTAAATGTCCTTCAAAATTCTCAGACTTGGGCCGGCCCATGGCTCACTCGGGAGAGTGCGGTGCTGATAACACCAAGGCCTCGGGTTCGGATCCCATATAGGGATGGCCGGTTCGCTCGCTGGGTGAGCGTGGTGCTGACAACATCAAGCCAAGGGTTAAGATCCCCTTACCGGTCATCTTTAAAAAAAAAAAAAAAAAAATTCTCAGACTCTCTTACATATCAC